TTTAATTAACTCTTCACATCCAGATGTCAGTGATTTGTTTTTAGAGTGAGCTTTTGCAATTCGGGGATTCCCCTTGTATTACTTTTCAATAAAATAAACTGAATTAAGTTTGAATACAAGTTTATTTTAAGCTTTTATATGAATTTCTTTCAGACATTCGAAGTAATTTATTAAGCAGCCTATTTCTTTTAATTTCTGCAAACTTTTTTATGCGGTTTTAAGTTAATTTTAACTCGTTGTTTTGGTTTTATGCGATTTTAGAAAATTACGGAACATATCCCTACTTTTTGAAGGCAAGTAAAGTCATTTTTTATGCGAATTTTTTATATGCGCTTTTCTGTGGAACGTATCCACCGCATAAAACGAGACCTTGCAGTATTTCTTTTTTAAAATGTGATGTCCCGAGATCAATACTACGTACGATAATACCTGGAAAACTAAAAACAAATTATTATTATTATTTTTTAAGATAAATCGTCCATCTCTGGGTAAGTTAGTCTGTCGAAATATTTTGTTTTATGAAATTAAAACAAAAATGGAAGTAACAAGAAAAATTTATTTTAAATTACGTAAAATTATAAACAACAAAAAATTACTAAGCAATTTCGCAATTCTTTCAATATAGAATATTGTCAGTATAGTGTGAGACTTCCTCTTTCGCCGATTGAGCATGCTGGTGATAACATTCTTTAACTGTTCTGTCGAGAGGAAAGTTCATTTTTGACTAATTGTATCTCGAAGCTCCTTCAGTGTTCTTGGTAAAGGTTGACAGGATGAAATTCGTCTCTTCCATACGTCCTATGGAATTTTAGGAAATTTTGGTGGTCATGTCATGCGACAAATACGTTTGTTTTCAAGAGTCATTAACGAGTGCAGCACTATATGCGCAGGTATTATCGTTCAAGAAAATTAAATCTGCACCCATAGCACTTCCGAAAAATCTCATATGTGGGATTCATAACTTCAGATGTAGATATGAAATTTTGCAAAACATGGAGTTCTTGTTTTAGAGTTCTTCTTAGATCTTGTTTATTTATGTATTTCTATTGATTAATTAATTAATTGCTTTATCTACGATTGGATAATTTTGCTTAGGTTTTGAACATGAATCTACATATTCAAAAATTTAATTATATTTTCAAGTTTAAAAAGAATTTCGGATTGTATTTTTCATAAATAATAGTTATAAAACTGAATTTTACTTTATTTTTATTTGTGTCAGGTAACCAAAAAAAGTTATATCGTTTTCCATACCTACAAACTGAAAGAATATTTAAGGAAATAACTTGACAAATAAAGTTATAATTTTAGTGACGTAGAAAACAAGAAATATTAAAGCACCTATTTATATGAAATAAACTTGAAGACAGGCCTGAATAGCATATCAAACCGTAAAAATGAGTACCCCAACTTCTGTTAGTCGTTCTTGTATGTTGTATAAGTTTAAACTCAAAACAAAGCTGTGCATGAGGCCCAAAAATATGCTAGGCTTTTAGAGAATGTTCTGCTAGTGTTTGCAGTTCTCAATGATGGTTTAAATGAATGAAGAGTCGCTTGGAGAGGCTCCACGTGAAGGATAATCATCTATCATTGATGACGATAAATTGAAAACTGTAATTGAAATCGATTCGGATGAAACATGCCAGGCATTGGCATAAAGATTCAAAGTCAGAGACAAA